CTATCTTCTCCTCTATCCATCTTCTATCCGCCTCCCCCTCTCTCCCTATTTATTTCAGAACCCCCTTCCCCTCCCCCATTTCTGAAGAAGGGTCTAGGCCCGAAACGTCAGCCTTCCTGCTCCTCTGATGCTGCTTGGCCTGCTGTGTTCATCCAGCTCTACACCTTGTTTTCTCTGGTTTTTATAGAACCAGTTTTATAGGATATGTAATTTGGGTTTTCCCTGAATCCATACATTTGCTTATTTTAGCCGTTGCTTAGGAACGCAACCTGTTACTCTTGATCCTCTTTTCCTATCTCTTTTTAACCTATGTTTTTCATTACTTTATTACCCCTCTCCAATTGTGTTGCTTCTTTTCACCTCCACTTTCAGGTACTCTGCCCTTCCAAATGTTTTGAGGTGTGATCAGGTGCTTTACATATGTAAATGTATAGTTATTTTTTTCCTTTACTGGATAGAACATAGAACAGTACAGCACAGTACAGGCCCTTTGCCCATGATGTTGTGCCAGCCTATTATCCTATTAATTAGTTTGAAATGTAAGGAAAAAAGGAATGGCCAAAGTCTAGTTAGATCCTACTCTTCTACGAATGATAGCCCACTCCTTCATGGATTTGATTTAAACTCATTCAACATTCTGACAAAAGTTTGCTAAAATACTAATGATCTTTAGACACCAGAACATTCATCCACTTTTGTTGGGGGTTAGTTCCAAGAGTACCGAACAAAAAAAAGTCAAGAAGAAAATTGCTTTTCTACAGTTTCTTTCTCCGGATGTCTCAATGTGTATTTTAGCCAATGACATACTTAAGAAGAGTAATCACTGTCATAATGTTGGGAAACACAGAAACCAATGTTTGCACAAGGTTGAGCAATCTGAAATCGAGTTGATGAGTAGGTAAACTGTTTTGGTGCTGTTGTTTGAGGAGGGAATGTTAGCCAGTGATTTTAGAGAGCTGGCTGATCATCTGTGAATAGCACCTTCATCCTTCATACCAACTCCCAGACAAGACAGAACTGTAGTTAAATTTGATATCATCCTGATTTAATGTACCACCTGGTAACTTATCCAAGTGAACATTATTTGTACTGCAGTCAGGGAAGTGATGTCAGAGAATTCTGTGCAGAATAGTGAGATAGTCTTATTTCCACTTGACATCGTACCTTTCTGCTTTGGAAGGTAAAGTTGAGATAGGGTTTGATATATTTATACAATTTTCCACTAATCTCCATTCGTGTGTTGCTGAGGCTAGTCGTTTCCATCTCCCACCCTGCCCTATGGCTCAATTGCCTGAAATCAGATTTGACTAGGATTTACCTGCTTTTCTCAGTTCTGAGAAACAACAGAGCTTTTCATTGAGCCTCACTTATAAGATAAGGACTGCATCACATTTCAAGACACTATGGAGATATTTCGAGGAGAAGTTGGAGGCAACTGCAATAAGGCTATGTATTGGGGAATACCATTATACTACCTGCAAAGAAAAATTCAATAGTAAGCTTTATGTTTATTCTTTTTTACATGTATGTTGTTTGGAAGTGGGAAATATTGCCCAGTATTCATTACTCTGTAAGATGGTGTAAGAACTCACTGTTTATACAATTACCTAGAATGTAATAGTTTAATTTCTGCAGAAGATCTGCATAACTAATAATGTATTTCATCTAAAGTAATCAGAGCCTTTTGTTTTCCACCCACTCCTCCAATATTTCACTTTTTATTTCAAATCTGCCTTGACTGACTATTTCACAATGTGGCTTTGTAAAAAGTCAAGAGGTGCAAATCTCATATGCCTAATTGTTTGAGTAGACACTAAAAATATGAATTCAGCTAATTTTTATCCTGAAACATTAAACTCCAAAATACCATGGAACTGAACAACTTTTAACCATTTAATTAAATAAAAACTTTCATACATAACACCTCCGAATTCTTGCCCTATGTATGTGTATACACTCAGTTAGGCTATCTTACAGTGGTGGTAGGCCACTTTAGAACTACAGAGTGAGAGTGAATATAATCTAGTCCAGGTATGGGTTACAGGTTCCCTTTGTTACAACTCACTAGGGTAGTGCACTGGAAATGGAACCTCACTGTTCCCAGATGCATCACAGAAGTTAAAAATTTTACAAATTATGCAAGGTTCCTCAATTTATCTGACCTACAGACCCAAATTGATAGAAAGCACAGACCAGGTTTCTGCACTGAACAAGAATTACTATTTATTACATGTAATTAGACTCTAGCGACACAAACAGTTATATACTGTCAATATATAACACTACTAATTAAAAATCTAATTCTCTTATAAACTTCCTCATTAGCTTAAGACTGGTTAACTATGTTAACATTAAGTAAGAGACACTTATCTCCTAAGAAAAAGTAACTAGGTCAATGCTATGTGACTGTCGACAGTAGAACAGACTAACAACTAACAACAAACTGACAAGTTTAGAACAGTTCATCCCAGAGGCAGTTATTTATACATCACTGGGTGAAATTATTCCAAAGTTTCTGAGATAACTCTTTCAGGCCAACTAGATTACGCTGGACTGCCCACCTCCAAGTCGCATTTTGAACATTCATTCCCTCCATTGCTGACACCCTGTATGTGTCATCAAGTACAGCAGTAACCCGCTATACCTTCTTTGAAAGCAGCTTTCAAACCCATGGCATCTACAGCTAGATGGACAAGGGCAGCAGGCTCATGAGAGCAGGACCACCTACAAGTTACTGTCCAACTAACATGCCACTCTGACTATTGCGAGCTCCATTGTCATCATTATGTCAACATTCTGAAACTTCCTCCCTACCAGCATTGTGGGAATTCACCTCTTGCACGGAAGTGTTACAAGAACGCAGTTCACCACCACTTTCTCAAGGGAAACTAGGATACATTCCCTGTCAGTTGTGCTCATGTCTTATGAATTAATACATTACTTTTGCAAAAAATTTAGATTCTTTAAATTTTGTAATGCTTTTGAACCAATGAAATTTTTACTCTTCAATGTTCCTTATTATTTATTGGTACATGCTAGACAATATCAATTTTTAGAATAAGAACTGGAAAAAATAGATTTGATTATTTAGGATTAATGTAAAATAAAAGCAATAGATATAATTATTTTGGAAGAGCCCAATATTTGAAAAGAAAGCTATAAAATGACACAAAGTGAAAGATGAGAATGAAAAGAGAAAATAGTTAAAAGTACAATACAAAGAAACTTACAAAATGGAAATAAAAAAAGCATGAAAGAATAAATATAGATTAAATGAGAGAGAGAATTATAGTTAAGAATGAACTTTGTTATTTTCTACATATGTTCTACAAATTCCACAGCTGCAATAATAACTTCCTGTTACATATTTATCTGTTTAATTTGGATCAATTTCTGTATCCATGCAAAATCTTTTAAAATAAAAGGCCTTAAACTTTTGGGGTCCAACATCCATTTCTCACAGAATCGCAGTTACAGGCAGCTTATTTAAAATTTAAGATTAATAGCTTTCTGACTCAAGTATTTCGTAGAAGGAGCTCTCTCAAAACTCAGGAGAAATACACATTGAATCCAGCTCGAACAACTCAACCTAAACAGTTTCAGAAGTCTGTAAATGACATTGCTCATCATGTGTTTTATCTCTTTTTTCCACCGTACTCTGTTCTGAAGGCTTGAAGTTCTCCTGGTCTTGTCCACCTGGACTTCTTAGCGGGTCATCACCTCCAGCAGATGTTATGGGTGAAATTACATCTGAAGTCTGATTGACTGTTTCACTAAAAGTACTTTGCAGGGGTGCAGAGGGGGCTGAGTTCATCATGTACAATGCATTCCCTACACGTCGAGACACCTGGAATGAGAATGAATCAGAAAAGTGTTAGTCTACTTGTCATTACTTAGAACTTTACAATTAAATGATTTGCTTCCAATTAAAATACTTTTTTAATACAGTCAGAGCCAATATTTGACTTGCTTCTATAAAACAAAGAACTGTTTTGAAGAAGGGTCACTGGACCTGAAATGTTAACTCTGCTTTCTCTCCACAGATGCTGCCAGACCTGCTGAGTTTCTTCAGCAGTTTCTGCTTTTGTTTTGTCAGACTTCAGCATGTAAACAGGCCAGTGAAAAATGTAAATGTCTTTTATAATTGACAGAATCTTCACCACTGTTTTCACAGTCTAGGAATGTTCTAAAATTCTCTATAGTCAATGAAATACTTTTCTGCTGTTAGAAGCTGTAAGAATTGTAACTGTCTAGCATAATGCCTTCAAATAAACTCTTAAGTCCAAGGAAATGAGGATGATAATGTTATGATCCCAACTGATGGTAATACTGACAAAGTCAGATTCCAGAGTGAAATCTGTTTGATAAACACTAAGTTCTAATTTTGCAACTTTGTTATTGCGGTGGTCAGTCACTGAAAATATTTTCAATGTACTTAAAATAAATAACAAATTTAATACACAAAAGGGAAAAAAAGCAAAGCCATAAACATAAGACAATTTGGAAAGATTTTATTATAAACAGCAAAAAAAATCCTTTGTCCCAGCAATATTCTTTACACTCAATCCCAGTGAAGCATCAATTCTATCTTCACTCTTTAATTTTGTATTCTACTGATGAGGTTGCAACCATTTCCATTCAGCAAACTTATGCATATTCACCAGATGTTAGAATGAATGGAAGCACAATAGTAACAGATTATTTACAATTTCCCACAATAAAGTAGTATATTTGCTAGTTAATTAATAATTTTATAATCAATAATGAGTGTCTATTGTCTTCCTGAGCCATGAACAAACAAACACACTGTAAGAGAAGGCCATTCAACCTTTCAAACCCCCTCTGCCATTCAATAAGATTATGGCTGATGTGATTTTAATCTTAACTCTATATTCCTACATACCCTGATAACCTTTCATCCCCTTGATAATCGAGAATCAATCTACCTCTGCCTTAAGATTGTCAATGGAGATGGTGAACATTGGTGCTGATATCATGTTACAGCCTGGAATGTACCTGGGACTGGATTTTCAAAGCTGGACCCAGCTTCAGACCCATTGTGTTTAAAAGGTGTCCTTCTGTGAGAAGAGGAAGGGTCTCTCCATCGATGGCATGATCTTTGAAGGTCTAGGGGTTAGGAAAATGAAACATATGAACATCAACCAAGCCTCTAAACCAATGCTCCATCCACATTCACTTTAGTCAGAAGCAAGAAAATGTATTGATTAGCAAACTAATTGGCCAATTAATGAGCATTTAAGTAAAAAAAGCAGAAAGTATGAGAGAAATTCAACAGGACCAGCAACATTTGTGCAGAGAAAAATAGATTTGGCTCAGAAGAATGAACTCAAAGCGTCAACTCAGTTTGTCTCTCCATAGATACTGCCAGACCTGCTAAGTTACTCCAACACTTTGCCTTCATTTTATTTCAGATCTCTAGCATGCACAGTACTTTACATTTAAATAACCACGTAAAGAGCTATTTCCTGCCCAGCCTCAAAGATATGCACACACACACTCTCTGCCTGTCCCTCCCTTGCTCTGTCTCTGTCGGCCCCCACAGTGTAGCATCTTGGGGACTGCTTGTAGTAACTTTCCTAGCCAGGCCTGTTTCAGGGGCTGCTGGGACTAGAGGGTCACATGGTCTGGTAGCAGTCTCAGCTGATCCTTCTTTCCAATTAAGGAGGCTAACATCCCACCTCCAGCCAACTGATGCCCCTTGTAAGCTTAAATAGCTGAGGGGCCATCAATATCAATATGTCAGTGCATTCTCCATTGACTCTTTGGGTGATGTGGCACCACTGTAAAAATCCAGGTAGTGGTTACTAAATGAACAGTGGTTCAATAATTTATTTGGTTGGTTTGTGTTGCTCGTCCTTGCCCAATGGTGGCTTTGAAAAATAAAATGAATGGTTGCTTCTTCAGACTCTTTCTGGTTCCATGTGCCACTTTATAATTGATGTTGCTTCCATGCATTCATCTGCATCTACTGAGAACAGTGCATGTGGGAGGAAATAGTGACATTTTGTGCTTTGCAAACACTGTTGTCATGTAAGAGGTTCTGGCTTGGGCAGATCTATTTTTAAAGACATTAAACTGAGGGCAGAAGCGAAGTAGCATAGATGTTGGATATCTGCAATAAAGCCATAAAAAGACAGGGATAGCCAGCAGGTCAGGTACAATCTGTGGAGAGGTTAATAGAGTTATCAGCTATTTTTTGCACTGTAGGATGGTGTGGTTGCAAGGCAGATGGGTCCATAAAATAGTGAGGGAAGGTGGGAGCTGGAAAATCCGTGGTCTTCCTGTTGTCTTGGCATTTTAGTTTGATTTATTTATTTATTGTCACATGTATCTTGTTACAAAATACAGTGAAAAGTGGAGCATAGTGTTGCCACTCTGGCGTCATCTTAAAACATAGAAAAATAAACCAAAACAAAGAATATAAAGACACAAAAATGAAGAAACAAAGAAAGTGTCTGACTTTACTGTCCATGTTAAGTGCTCCATCATGGGCCAGGCACGAGTCCCTTTGCTGCACCGCTGGAGTGAAAGTTGCCACTCTTCGGCGCCATCTTGCTTCCACTGACACCCCTACTACTGAATGCTCGCTGGACCTTGCCAGTGCAGATGCCACTGATGCTATCAGGTATCATACTGGCCCAAACTTGACTCCACTGCTGCCATGAGTCCACTTCAGGCCGACCTTGCCAATGCAGCCTCCGTCATGAATCTGCACTAGATGCAGACACCACTGGGAATGCAAACTTGCCTCTGCAATAGTCATGAGTCAGTGCTAGGACCACCTTGATGATGCAGAAGCCACTGGGAACCCAAACTCTCACCACCGCCACCATAAGTCCGCACTACTGGGCTGACTTGCTGATGCTGTCACCATGACTAAGCTCTTCACCAAGAAGTAAGTAAAATCAAATAGAACAGGGAAAAAAAAACGACAATAGAGAAACAAAAAGAAAAGCAGATGGAGCTCATGACCACCACCTCCCCCCCATCTCAAAAGCCCTACTCCACTGTCATTTTACCAATGTTGGGGAGGTTGGATTATGATCCTCATGCCCAGAGGCCAATTCAGCCATTAAAGCAGGCATTGATGTGTTTCTGTTCCCACTGGCATTGCCAGTGTGCTGGGTTTTCTGCAATGGCCAGAGATGACCTTGGGGTGGTGGCAGGGACAATCATGTTCAAGTACTTTATGGCCATCTGGGTGGGGGAGTCCATGGCTAGGGTACTGCCTCCCCACTCCATCCACCGCTTCTCACCCTCTTGCTGGACACTACTGGACATTCATTTCACTCTCACCCATCACCTTGGTCCTTCCGGATTACACTTACCTATTTGTCCTTTCATAAGACCTTTCATTCCAGATGCCATCCCATCAATTGCCACTGCTTACAGTGGCACTGCTGAGAGTATAGAGCTCTCCACCCTCTGTCAGTTTTTGGGCCAAGCAGACTTCTTTTAAAAGGGCACAAGGTTTGATAACAAGTGATTAATTGATGGAGCTCTGCAAAATACAGCTGGATGTCTCACAACCGACCAAAGCAGCACTGCTGTGGCGTTTGGGCCCACAGTAAAATTCAGTCCAATGTGTCAGGTCAATGACCTTTCCTGCTCTAGTGAAAGGTCAGTGACCTAGAATGTTAACTTAGTTTTTCTCTCCATGGGATCTGCTGAAACCTAGAGCATGTTTAGATATTTGGATAGAATTAAAGTTTCTTGTGTTCATGTTTAACCCACAATATGGCAGTTCCCTCAAATCTTGGACATCTTTTATCCCTCATGTCACAGGAAGATTAGTAACTGTTTCTCTCATTGGCTGTTTGTGGGACCTTGCTGTGTATAAATTGGTTGCTACATTTGCCTCCACTGAAGCATTCAATAAATGAAATAATGTAGAGTGGTGAGATCAGCCATCATAAAATTGAAAAGGAAAACATTTACTTGAGCATAATCTGAGCAACCGGGCAAGAGGCTGACAAACTTGTAAACATCGTCCACCGTCCACTTCTGAATGATTTCGTCCTCTTCCGGTAAGAAGACAGCATTGGGTCCTGCTGAAGAAAAGATGAAAGGTTGTCATTTTGTTTCAGTAGGATTTGGAAGTAGAGAAGACATGAAATGAGTCAGTAATTAATTCAAATCCTCAGCCAGCCTCATTTAAAACCACTCTCACTATACATCATGAATGAATTTATGTGAGGTGATATTATAGGAGGAAATTGATGTAGTATTCCAAAATCTAGTTGTTGTTTAACAATGAAATTAAGCTGTTACTTTTAAAAGAATTAATATGTTTGTTAAGCAGTTGAAATAAGAATTTATATGTTCAATTAATATTGAAAGAAAAATATTGAATTAGAACAAATTATACACTTAAAAGTGTGAATTGATACATTTTGAGAGAGAGAACAAGGAAAGTCAAAATAAAACAGAAACAGTGTTCTGAGCAAAGGTCACTGGACCCAAAATGTTAACTCTGATTTCTGTCCATAGATGCTGCTGGACTTGCTGAGCCTTTCCAGCCATTTCTGATTTCCAGCATCCGCAGTTCTTTCAGTTTTTATTGAGTCAATATAGACTAAAGGGTACAATTTCTAAAGATCGAGGGACCTGGGTTTATATGTACATAAATTGTTGAAGGTGGCAAATTGAAGAAGAGGTTTTAAAAATGAAGGCATAAAGTAATGAAGCAAGGAATTTTTATGAAATTCTGGGTTGGTCTTCACTGGAGTAATGTGTTTGATTCTGAGCACATCACTTTAGGAAGAGTGCAAAGTTAAATGAACATAAGTACATAAAAACAAAGAATAGGAGCAGGAGTAGACCATGTGACTCATCAAACCTATTCCATCATTTAATATGATCATAGTCGATCTGTGGTTTTAACTCCACTTTCTCACTTGCTCCCCATATCCTTGATTCCCTGAAGGACCACAAATCTGTCTATCTCAGTCTTAAATACGTTCAAAACAGACATCCACAACACTCACAGGGTAGGGGATTCATAAACCGTGGATTGAAACAATTTTTCATTACTTCAGTCCTAAATGATTGTTCATTTATCCTCACATTTCCCTCATTACATGCCATCTACCACCAGGTTTCCCACTCCTCTAACCTGTCCATATTGCTTTGACTCATTTAACTTGTCCACATTGTTTTAGTTAGAGATAACGAAGCATTAGAGAGAACACCAAAAAGGTTTAGAAGAATAGTTGCAGGAATAAGGAACTTCAGGTACATTGATAGATTAGAGGTCTGTTCTCCACGGAGAAAGGGAAGGTTGATATTAGACTTGATAGAGCTGTTCAAAATCATGAGGGATATGGACAGAGTAGACAGAGAGAAACTGTTCCCATTGGGAAAGGGCTGAGAACTAGAGGATACTGATTTAAGGTGAATGGTAAAATTACCAAAAGCAAAATGAAGAAAACGTTTTTAAGCAGACAGTGGTTAGGACCTGGAATGAGCTGCCTGAGAGCACAGTGTAGGCAGATTCAACCATAGCTTTCAAAAGACAATTGGATAATTAACTGAAGAGTAAAAGTTTGCACAGCTCGAGAGGAAAAGACAGTGGCTAAGGACTGGTCAATTTGCTCTTGCGAAGGGCCAGCATAGATATGATAGACAAAAAGTTTCACTCTCTGCTGAACCAGTCTATGGTTCTAATTTATATTTGCCTTAGTCTTTTCCCTGGGGTGGGGGAGTCCAAAACTAGAGAGCATAGGGTTAAGGTGAGAGGGGAAAGATTTAAAAGGGACCTAAAGAGCAACTCTTTCACGCAGAGGGTGGTGCGTGTATGGAATGAGCTGCCAGAGGAAGTGGTGGAGGCTGGTACAATTACAACATTGAAAAGGCATCTGGATGGGTATATGAATAGGAAGAGTTTAGAGGGATATGGGCCAAATGCTGGAAAATAGAACTAGATTAATTTAGGATATCTGGTCGGTATGGACAAGTCGAACCAAAGGGTCTGTTTCTGTGCTGTATATCTCTATGCCTCTATTACACTGTTCCTGAAATGCCCTAAGAATTAATTAATTTCAATTAAAAACAAAGTTCTGGAGAAGCTGAACAAGTCTGGAAGCATCTATAGAGACAGAAACAGAAAATGTTTTGAATACGATATGACTCTTCTTCGGAACTCCACTTTTATTTTAAGTGTCATGTGAGCACGTGCCGCACACAGTCAGATACATTCATCATCATCAACCAAAGTAAGGAGTGAGTCATAAGCCAAGATTAAGGCAGTTGTTACAATTGAGACCTTCGATGCATTGGAAAATAATATCCTACCTGATGTCATTAGTGTACTTCCTGGTATCTGAAATCGGCAAGGTATTGCTGGCAGAGGCAATGATGAAGGGAACATATACTTTGGAAATGTGGCACAGCTCTTGAACATATTCTTCTCAGTTCCAGTGTAAGAAGTATTACCATTGTCTGCCTCTGAGAATTTCTCATTGCTACTGCCATGTTTTCTTAATCTTTGCTCACTGTCTTTATAATCGCTACTTAATCCAAAAGGGCATAGTAAATTTGTGTCCGTTTTGTTTTGATTTGGTTTAGCTGAAAGACCTGACTTTGGCTCATTTTCACATTCGATCTCCTTTCCCTCCACTGCTGTTACTGAGATGTAGTCCAGTTTCTTGTCTTCTACATGGCCTTTGGAACTGTTATAATTATCATCTGCATTCTTCAGAGTGGCAGCTCTTTTTATGCCTCTCCGATTCCTATCTCTGTACAATGTATTAACTGGAGGATGTGGATTAGATGTCACCAACAGGCTATTATCAACACTAATGTTGGCCAATGCATTTTGGTGGAGGATTGCCTCATTGGTTTGCTGGCCTTTGGGTAGCCTGTATCTATTGTGGAATGCAATTTCATCTGTTGAAATACCAGGACAAACGAAAGGCACTTCCACTCCCAATGGTCCTTTTCGATGGGTGTTCTCCAGTTCCTTCTGATTGAGTAGTGCATCCACTTCCAGCCTAGAATTGAATTCAATCACTTTAGATATAAGATTCCTGTCTCATTGTAGATATTGTTGAAAAAAATGAACTATGAAAAGCATTACATTTTATTCTCCCAATGTAGAATGAACACTAGGGATAACTTGATATAAACACACTTCTAACCCCAAGACTTAAGTTTTCTCTTGTTGTCTATGCATAAATCTGGTATTCTTAATTGGTTGCCTATTACAGGAATAGGTAGAAGTGAGATTAAGTGGTTTCAATAATGGATGTCCTGTCCACAAAGAATGTTTGTTTATAGACCTGGAGCACCTGGAAAATGTCTTCAATTCTCAAATATTTCACCAACAGGAAACTTATTAACTATATAAGATTGGTCACAGTATTACCTAGTTGTTCAAAGCACAATATCTTAATTTGAATTGTAACAGAATGCTGGTGTGTTAAAATGGAAAAAAAAACAAAATGCTATAGCAGGAGAGAAAGAGCAACCTGAAATTGGTCTTCAGCAGCATAAATGGAAAAGAAAATCAATGTAATGTAAAATGAGCTGCCAATTTCACTCCCATTATGCATTCTCATGAAAAAACAATTTCATCCCAGTGTTCCACGAAGCACCATGAAAATTAAAGAACAAAATTTCATTTTCATCATATTATTGTACAGAATAGACCCCAATCCTGTGGTCAGCACTGCTGACATGAATAGCATGGGAGCCAAGAGGTGATAGTACAGTGCAAAATGTTGGGGGGCGGGGGGAGCGGTGGTGGGGCTTGTGGATAGAACAGTGCAAGAGACAAGATGGGTGGTCAGAACAATTCAGAAAATGGTACAAGGGTGGACAAAACATGCAAGATCTGAGAGGGGTGGACAGGATAACTTAAGAGGTGAGAGGGCAGGACAGTACACAGTGATAGGCAAGAAGTGTGGACAGGACGTTGTAAGAGTGTTGGACGAAACAGCAGAAGAGTTGAAAGGGGCAGTCATAGGAAAGATGTCATAATCCTTAATAAGGAGACCACAGCAGGGCAGTTATAAAATTGTAATGCGATCAGGATGTGTCAACATGATTTTGTGAAAGGGAAATTGTGTTTGGCTGATTTATTAATATTTTTTGTGGAAGTAACAGATAAGGGAAGTTAGATGTCAAGAACACATTTGAAAAAGTGACACCTCAAAGACTATTGCACTAAATAACAACTTGTAGTGTCAGGGTAATAGATTAGCATGAATAGAGGATTGTTTAGCTAACTGGAGCAGGGGGCAAGCATATAAGACCATAAGATGAGGGAGCAGAAATAGGCCATTTGATCCATCGTGTCTGCTCCACCGATTCCCTGAGATCATGGCTAATCTGACCACCCTCAACTCCACTTTCCTGCCTTTTTCTCATAACCCTTGATTCTGTTATTGATTAAAAATCTGTCTATCTCAGCCTTGAGTATAATAAATGACGCATTCTTGACAGTTCACCGTGGGGAATTAAATAGGCGATTCTGTACTCCGAGTCCTTCCACGAAGGGAAATAACCTCTCCACATCTACCCTATCAAACCCCTTCGAATCTTAACTGTTTCAGTAAGGTCATCTCTCTTTCTTCTAAACTTTAATGAATACAGGTCCAACCTAATTGATCCCTCCTCACAAGAAAATCCCTCATAAGAAAATCCCACCATACCTGAGATCAGGTTTTCTGGACTGCCTCCAATGCCATATATCTTTCCTTGGATAGGAGCCCAAAACAGTTCACAGTTTTCTAGGTGTGACTAACTAGTGTTTTATATGATTTAGCAAGACTTCCTTTCAAAGTCTCTTCCCAGAGAGTTTTGGAGGCTGAGTCCTTGGATACTTTTAAGGCAGAGTTAGATAGACTCGAGATTAACAAGGGCATCAGAATGACAGGAAATTGGAGTTTAAGCCACAATCAGATCGGATATGATCTTATCAAACAGTGGAACAGGCTCAAGAGCCCAAGTGGACAGCTTCTGCTTCTAATTTGTACATTTGAATGTTTTTATGTTATCTCTTTGAAAGCTATCAATGTGGATATGTTTTAAAAGGGATGTCCAGTGCTTAATGGTTTCAGACACTAAAACCATGGATGCCATGTCTTAAAATTAGTGAGAGGCCAGAGTTGGAGGACCGCAGAGGAGTGGAAGAGGTAGAAAATGGTGAGGCATTGGAGGGATTTGAAAACACTATCAGACAAAAAACCTGAAGCTTATTATTGCAGCTGCTCTTCTTCTATAGAATCTATGCATTAAGCTGTATATTTGACTAGTTGCAGAGAAAAGTCAGCATTCAAACAATTAAACAGTCAATGCATCACTTCTATATTGCAAGCCTCTGCTCACCTAACCAGATTCTGCTTGTGAATCAGTTCTTGGCGTCTGAGCATTGAATCCATTGTTTCTGGTGGCAGAATATTGAAACCTTCAAAGCAAGTTTGTACAATATTACTGAGTTCTGACAGATTGGTTCAGATAGAAACCTTTTTTTGCTACAAGTATCTGACAACTCTAACACTTCTATTTTAAAGCTGAAATTGTCAACATTTTATTAAACCAAAGTCTTAAGGGACGTGAGGAATGAATAGAAGACTTTAGGTAACAGATCAGCCAAGATCTCATTGAGGAGCAGAACAATCTTGTAGGGCTAAAGGACAAGGTCCTGTTCCAGTGTTCCACAGCTAATACCAGATTCAACATACTGTACAATGATAGACTGAGCTGAGTGTGGTCAACATAGGATTGACAAAATCTTTTTTCCTTGTTTTTCAAGAACCGCAACTTCCCCTCCACAGTGGTCGAAAATGCCCTCGACCGCGTCTCTCGCATTTCCCGCAACTCATCCCTCACTCCCCCTCCCCGCAATAACAACCAAAACAGAATCTCCCTCATCCTCACATACCACCCCACCAACCTCCGGATCCAATGCATCATCCTCCGACACTTCCACCATCTGCAATCTGACCCCACCACCAAAGACATTTTTCTCTCCCCACCCTAATCTGCCTTCTGGAGGGACCACTGTCTCTGTGACTCCCTTGTCCGCTCCACACTCCCCACCAGTCCCACCACCTCCGGCACTTTCCCCTGCAACCGCAGGAAGTGCTACACCTGCCCCTACACCTCCCCCTCAAGGTCCCCATCCCAGGCCCCAAGAAAACCTTCCACATCAAACAGATGTTCACCTGCACATCTGCTAATGTGGTATACTGTATCCGCTACATCAGGGAAACCAAGCGGAGGCTTGGAGACCGCTTTGTGGAACACCTACACTCAGTTCGCAACAAACGACTGCACCTCCCAGTCGCAAACCACTTCAACTCCCCCTCCCACTCCTTCGACGACATGTCCATCCTGGGCCTCCTCCAGCGCCAAAACAATGCCACCCGAAGGTTGCAGGAACAGCACCTCATATTTCGCTTGGGAACCCTGTAGCCCAATTGTATCAATGTGGACTTCACAAGCTTCAAAATCTCCCCTCCCCCGACCGCATCCCAAAACCAGCCCAGCTCGTCCCCGCCTCCCTAACCTGTCCGTCCTTTCTCCCACCTATCCACTCCTCCCACCTCAAGCCCCACCCCCAACTCCTACCTACCAACCTCATCCCCGCCCCCTTGACCTGTCCATCTTCCCTGGACTGACCAACCCCCACCCTAACTCCCCACCTACACTCACCTTTACTGGCTCCATCCCTGCCTCTTTGACCTGTCCATTTCCTCTCCACCTATCTGCTCCTTTATCCATCTTCCATCCGCCTCCCCCCCTCTCTCTCTTTATTTCTTTATTTCAGAATCCCCTTCCTCTCCCCCATTTCTGAAGAAGCGTCCAGACCTGAAACGTCAGCTTTCCTGCTCCTCTGATGCTGCTTGGCCTGTTGTGTTCATTCAGCTCTACATCTTGTTATCATTGATAAAACCTTAAAAGGTTCTTGTCCTGCAACAGAAGTGTCCTTAATTCCGAGCTACGAGACCTGGATTCAAGTCCCACCTGCTCCAGTGGTGTGATTGAGAAATATTTAAAAACCTTAAAAAGTAATTAAATTCTTAGCAAAAGGAAATCCAGCATGATAAATAATTTAATCACTCTTAGATCATGAGGTGGCTCATCAGCCCATAAGCTGGTTCTTGCCATTCGATTAGAGCGTTACCTAAGTGTATCTTAACACCATCCCTGCCTAACATATTCCTCAATAAAAATCTTAGAAAATTCCAGCAATCTCAGTTCCAAATTATTAAGCATCAACAGCTTTATAAGGGAAGAGAATTCTAGTGTTTCCACTCCCCTTTGGATAAAGAAGCATTTGCTGACATATGACCTTCCAAGTATTTCTGTATGCAATTTTGTTAGCAAGCTATAGGTTGGAATAGAACCAAGGAGTTCAGATGTTGCAATTGGCTACCCAGGTTTAAAGTGCGGACCGTAAACTCATGAAGATATTCTTTGCAGATGGATTAAAAGGCAGCCCGTCTTGCAGTTAAATAATTCTTTAAAGAAAATTATGGATTTATGGGATATGGGTGTAACTGGCTAGGTCAACATTTATTACCTATTCTTGATTGCCCTGGAGATGGTAGCAGTGAGCTGCCTTCTTGAACCACTACAGTTCTTGGGGTGTGCGGGCTCCCATGGTTAGGAAGGGAGTTCCAGGATTTTGACCCAGTGACATAGAAGTAATGGCAATATAGTTCAACCCAGGATGGTGTGTGGCTTGCAATTGAAAATGCAAGCAATGATGTTCAAATTCATCTGCTACTCTTGCCCTTCTGGATGGTAACGGTCATGGATTTGGATGGTGCTGTTGAAGGAGAGTTGATGAGTTATTACAGTACATTGTGTAGATGCCATACACTGCTGCAATTGTGCATAGATGGTGGAGGGAGTGAATGTTGAATGTGGTAGATGGGGTGCCAATCAAACAGGCTGCTTTGTCCTGGATGGCATTAAGCTTTTTCAGTGTTACCCATCCAAATAAGTGGAGAGTATTTCATAACACTCCTGACTTGTTCAATGTAGGTGATGGACAGGCTTTAGGGAGACAGAAGATGAGGTACTCAAGCAGAATTCCTAGCCTCTGCTTTTGTAGCCACAGTATTTATATGGCTAGTCCAGTTATGTTTATGTTTAATGGTAACTTCAGGATATTGATAGTTGGGAATTCAGTGAATGACATTGAACAACAAGGAGCAATGGTTAAGTTGTCTGTTATTGGACAGTTATTACCTGGTACTTGTGTGGAAAGAATATTACTTGCTACTTCTTACCCGAAGCCTGGATGTTGTCCAGATCTTGCTGCATACTGTTTCAAATCTGAGGTGTATGATATGATCACCAATTTTTGTAAAAGCTCGCCTGATTCAATAATGTCCTTTAGGTAAAGACAGTTGCTGCCACCATTAGCTGGTCTGACCTACATTTGACACCAGATCTACAGGAACATAGTTGACTCGTGACTCTCATTGAAATAATCTAACAAGCCACTGAGTTCAATGGTATCCAGGGATGGGCATCAAATCTGGTCTTGCCGGTGGTGCCCACATCCCATCAAAGAATAAAGAAAAGGTAATGAGAATCACATCTAAATTTCAAAGGATTAACTATTGAATTTGAACCCTGAGAACTCAGAATTCCATGGACTTTCACGTTCTTCTTGACCCACTGGCTTAAAAATATAAATTCACAATCTCCCATTACAATCTGTTGGAGCATGAAGGAGCAGAATCTAGAAATGTTGGAGTGTGTCCCCACTATAATAACAAAACTCTTGTCATTTTTATTTGCCAAGTATTTAATACAGGTTACTATTTTCCTGCAAATATTTTATTTGTGTATTAATTGCTTCAATTCCAACTCCACAAACAGGAAGTGAAAAGTAAGTAAAAAAATTGAGCTATCGCACACACAACTGAGCTCTAAATAGATTTGTGAGTTTACCTGCCCCTGGGTAGGTCCGATTGTGTATAACACTTGTTTGGACTGAAGTGCCAAGTTGGGAGCCCAGGTGGATTTGCCGTGTTTCAGGTGAACTAAGGATTTCAGAAGAAGCCAGAATGTTCCTGTAGGAAGAAGATAGTGAAATTATCAGTTAAGTCTGCTGTAATCAGTTAGATTTGTCAGGCACAGTCGTTTAGAATTAGATGAGGAAGAACATTTTGCTCGAAGGGTTTTGAATGTTTGGCGTTGTCTTACCCAGTGGCCCACGGAATCGCAATTGATGAGTTAAACTGACATTGATAAATTTCTGGATGTTAAGGGACTTGGGGATATTCGGATCAGGGAGGTAAGTAGAGTTAAGGGCAAAGATTAGCCATGATCATATTGAATGACTAAGCAAGCTTGAGGGGAAGTATAACCTGTACCTGCTTCAAAATCTCATGTTCAGGAACAAATTCTATAGAAATAAAGAAAAAAAACAGGTGGGAAATATTGAAGATCAATATTCCATTGTTTCATTTGTGGATTGGCTATCTTTAAACCTCATTTGCTAATTAAGTCTTGGACACTTTAAGCATCCAATTGCCTCAGTGAATGGAAAGTCCACATTTTAGCCGAGCCACTTCTACATGATTCTGCCAGGGGGCACTGGCATCAGTATTGGAACAGGAGGGATTTGTACCATTGGGACGGTCTCCACCTGAAGCAAGCTGGGACCAATGTTCTAGCGAAAAGGGTAAATAGGCTGGTCAACAGGACTTTAAAGTGGGGAGGTAGGGAAGGGTAAAACTCCAAGGAGTATAATGGCCAATGGGAAATAAAGCAGCAGGTAAACATCTGTGGGGGTGGATTCAACTTCATGGAAAAATGTGAAAAAAAAAAAGGAAAGGAGAACTTGGGAGAGATTATTAAAGTGTCCAGCGCACAAAATAGGACAAAGTGTTTTGGAAAAGGTTAGGAATCAAACTTCATGCACACTGGATAAACGAATGACAATGAGAAGAGGGACTGTCAGTACAGGAATGTAGGTGTTGTGTCTGAATGCATGCAATGTACAATATAACGTAAATGAGCTTGAGGCACAGATCAAAATTGGCAGGGCTGAACATGGTGGGCATCACAGAGAAGTGGTTACAAGGGGATCTGGACTGGGAGCTAAATATCCAGCGATATACATCGTACAGAAAAGACAGGCAGGTAGTCAGAGGGGGTGGGGTGCCTTTTTAGTAACAAATGATATTAAATCACTAGCAAGAAACAAAGTAGGTTTGAAGATGTAGAATCTGTCTGGGTAGAGTTGAAAAACAGGGAGTTATGTACAGGCCTCCAAACAGTAGTCAGGATTTGGGGCACAAGATACACCAGAAGATAGAAAAGGTGTGTAAGAAAGGCAAGGTTACAGTGATCATGGGGAATTTCAATATGCAGTTGGACTGGGAAAATCAGGTTGGTAGTGGATCACAAGAAATGAATTCGTGAAATGTCTATGAAATGGCTTTTGGAGCAGCTTGTGGTAGAGACCACTAGCGAACAGGCAATTCTCGATTTAGTGTTGTGCAATGAGGCAGACTTGGTAAGGGAGCTTAAGGTGAAGGAACCCTTTGGAGGCAGTGATCTTAATATGATAGAATTTACTGCAATTTGAGAGGGAGAACGTGGAATCAGATGTAATGGTATTACAGTTGAGTAAAGGCAACTACAGAAGCATGAGGGAGGAGCTGACCAGAATTGACAGGTAGAGGACCCTAGCAGGAAAGGCAGTTGAAAAGCAATGGCAGGAGTTTCTGGGAGTAATTTGGGAGACACAGCAAAAATTCATCCCTAGGGAAAAGAAGCATACTAAAGGGAGGATGAGGCAACCATGGCTGACTAGGGAAGTCAGGGACAGTATAAAAGCAAAAGAGAGAGTATATAATGTGGCAAAGGGCAGCAGGAAACCAGAGAATTGACAAGCCTACAAAGACCAACAGAGGGCAACGAAAAAAGAAATAAGGAAGGAGAAGATTAAAAATGAGGGTAAGCTAGCCAGTAATACAAAAGAAGATTGCAAGAGTTTCTTTAGATATATAAAGGACAAAAGAGAGACAAAAGTGGACATTGGACCCCTGGAAAATGATGCTGGAGAAAGAGGAATGGGGAACAAAGAAATAGCTAAGGAACTGAATAAGTACTTTGTGTCAGTCTTCACAGTGGAAGACACGAGTAATATCCCAAAAATTCAAGAGAGTCAGGGAGCAGAGGTGAATATGGTGGCCATCACCAAGGAGAAAGTGTTAGAAAACCTGAAAGGTCTGAAGGTGGATAAATCACCTAGACCAAGTGGACTACACCTCAGAGTTCTGAAGGAGACTGCTGAAGAGATAATGGAGGCATTGGTGATGATCTTTCAGGAATCACTGGAGTCAGGGAGGGTCCAAGAGGACTGGAAAATTGCTAATTTAACCCCTCTGTTTAAGAAGGGAGTAAGGCAAAAGATGGGAAATTACAGGCTGATTAACCTGACCTTGGTCATTGGACTCTAAAATCTTACCAATGTGAAGGATGAGATTTCTGAATACTTAGAAGTGCATGGTTAAAAAAAGGGCGAAGTCAGCATGGTTTCATCAAGGGGAGATCATGCCTGACTAATCTATTAGAATTCTTCGCGGAGGTAATTAGCAGGTTAGACCAAAGAGATCCAATGGATGTTTTCTAGCTGGACTTCCAGAAGGCCTTTGAAAAGGTGCCACACAGGAGGCTGCTGAGTAAGATAAGGGACCATCATGTTAGAGGCAAGATACTAGCATGGATAGAAGATTAGCTACCTGGCAGAAAGTTGAGTCAGTAGTTGAGAAGGCAAATACAATGTTGGCATTTATTTCGAGAGAACTAGAATATAAAAGCAGGGATATACTTTTGAGGCTTTATAAAGCTCTGGGCAGACCACATTTAGAACATTGTGAGCAATTTAGGGCTCCATACCTCAGGAAGGATGTACTGGCCCTGGAACAGGTCCAGAGGAGATTCATGAGAATGATGCCAAGAATGAAAGCCTTAATATATGAGGAATGCTTGAGGACTCTGAGTCTATACTTGATGAAGTTCAGAAGGATGGTGGGGTGGGGTGGGGAATCTAATTGAAACTTACAGAATACTGAATGGTATAGACAGGTTGGAAGTTGGGAAGATGTTTGCATTGGTAGGAGAGACTAGGACCTGAGGGCACCACCTTAGAGTAAAGGGTAGACCCTTTAGATTGGAGATAAGGAGAAACATCTTCAGCTAGAGAGTGGTGAATCTGTGGAGTTCATTGCCACAGACGGCTGTGGAGGCCAGGCCATTGAGTATATTTAAGTCAGATAGGTTCTTGATTATAAAGTGGATCAAGAGTTGTGGAGAGAAAGTGGGAGAATGGAGTTGAGAAACTTATCAGCCATGAATGGTGGAGCAGACTCGATGGGCCAAATGGCCTAATTTCTGCTCCTTTGTCTTATGATCTGATTCACTGCCTATTTTAAACCATGCAAGTACGACAAAGCAGGGTGAAAAGTGAGTGACATAATTTGATCCAATCAACTCTTCACGAATGGATTATGCTAAAATTCTTCCCACCTTTAAAGGTTTATAGCTGCAATTTTCAAAAACACTGAAACAGATTTTTTCTTCCAATGCAAGTCTGCTGTTTCTCAATTAATTTTGAGTCTTATGGTTACTTTAATGTCAGTAAGGTTATAAGTCCGCTAATGAAATGCTGAAGCTAAACACAATGCCAACTCTTCTTGCCTCGATCCAGTTTTGGATTTGGCAACAGGTGGCCAACCAACTACGAGATTCTAAATAGTCTTTGCCTCTTCTCTCTGCTCTGTTGCTGACTCCAGAGAATGTGATGGATTTAAGTGAGGCAATGTGTGCCAAAGATTACTTATCAATTCCATCCTTGGGGTAGAACTTGATGGTAGTTTTTAAAATGAGTGTTAGTGAATTTGCAGTCCATTTATAGTAAAAGCACAGAATCACACAGCACAGGAGGAGACCATTCAGCCCATCATACCTAAACTGGATCTTTGAAAGAGCCATCCAATTAGCCCTATTCCTCTGCCCTTTCCTCACAACTTGACAAATATTCCCTCTTCAAGTATTCATCCAAGCTCCTTGTAAGTGTCACTTGAATCTGCTGCCACCACCTTTTCAAAGAGTGCATTCCAAATGCAGGTCACCTGGCTGTGAACACATGCCTTCTCACCTACCCTCAGATATTTTTCCATCTCTCTTAAATGATCCTTCAACATATAACAGTCCTCACTTTTAGTTCTTTGTTTCATTCATCTTCGCCCCACCCTTCGCTAGTTCAAAACCCGTCACATTTCTGTGTTTCCTCAGTTCTGATAAAGGTTAGTAGGTCTGAGATGTTAATTTGGATACTACCTGTGCTGCTGAGTGTTCCCAGTATTTTCTGTTTTTACTTTACATTTCTAACATCTGCAGCATTGCTTTTGTATTTTAAATGTGAGCCCTGTTCATACCTCATTTCGTGTTTAGCTTTTACCATGAAGGGCATGTAACATGAATATTTTAAGGCTCACCTGTCTAGGAGCCGTGGTTCAAAGTGGACACCAAGAGTCTGCATCTTCTGTTGTCCAGGCCCCAATATCTGCCCATGAGGGTTCATGAGCATCATTTGATTTCTCATCAACATTTCTTGCCGGTGTCGAAACTCTGAACAAAATAAGGATGCAACAAATTGATAAATGAAAACCACTAGTATTTATTGTTTTCCTGACTCTTAAAGTCTCGGCTTTCATTGGAAAGGGTTCAAAAAACCTTGTTATTTGCTTTACGTTTAATTCTGCATTAGTGCCTGCCATATCTCAGTGGGACGCACTTTGTTCTTTACAGGAAGGCGATGGTGTAGTGGTAATATCATGAGATTTAGTAGTCCAGGCTAATGTTCTGGGGACATGAGTTCAATTCCTACCATAGAAGATTGTGAAATTTGATTTCAATTTAAAAAAACACCCTGGAATTGAAAGCTCACTGGAGTGCAACCAGTGTCAATTATTGTTTAAAACTCGATGCTGGTTCACTAATGACTTTTAGAGAATTGTTGTTCTTACCTGGTCTGGCCTATGTGTGAATCCATACTTACAGCAACATCATTGATGTAAATAGATTTTTGATCAGTGGTGGAATCAGGGTTATGGTGAAAACACAGGAAAGTGGATGTGAGGAATATCAGATCAGCCATGATCCTATTGAATGGCAGAGCAGGGTCGAGGGCTGAATGTCTACTTCTGTTTGTATTTTTTATGGTTATGGATTCTTAACTGCTGCCTGGGCAATAAATGCTGGCCTAACCAGTGATACTCTCATCTCATGAATGAATAAAAGAACAGAATCAGGAGGCTGTGGGTTCAAGTCTCAGACTAAAGACATGAATGCAAAATTCAGGCTCACATTCTCAGTGTAGTATTTGCCACTGATGTGTTCCTTTTTCATATGTAACTTTAAACTGAGGCTGGTTGACCCTTTCAGGTAACTGTAAGATATTGAAGACCATTATTTCCAGGAGTATCAGGTGAGTTCCCACTAGTCTCCTGGGCTGATATTAATCTCTCAACTAAAGTTTGTAAAACATCTAATCTAGTCATTACCCCATTATTGTATGTGAGTGGTTTCTTTGTGCAAATGGGCAGTTGTGTTTCCTACCTTCTAGGGACTTCTTTGTTACTGAAGTGCATTGGAACATCCTGAAGACATAAAAAGGCACTACAGAAATGCAAAACTTTATTTCTTTAAGCTGCAGTTTTCACTAAAATACATCACTGACAACAGAAAATTCCATAAATTGGATATTTCTTGCTGTCCCAGGATGAATAGTAAGGCCCTTTATTCCCTCAATGAAAAGTCAAAGGTTTATGTATTAACCTATTGTGGCATCTAGATCCAATCCTCTTATTAAATAATGATAGAATTTTCTGGCTTTGAGCCTGGACCTATAGGACTGACTGGATGTAGGGCACATAGGAAGATAGTGTGAGGGGGTGAATATGCCAGTATGACAGCCCACCCAATTTTCCATCCTTTAACTTAATAGTTGCTTTATCCAACAAGCAATTTTCACTCCTCCATTTCATACTTTCCTGTGTCCAGACAAACCAATAGCAGAACAAGAGCTTGTGATCTAATGTGCATGAAATAACATAATGTCTGTGTTATTACTGGCCTCTAAGTCAATAGATAATGAAAGGAAAAAGAGCATTTTATAATTATTCATTTACTAAGGACGTGGATTCAATTTTGATGAAGGAATTCTGAAAAAAGAAAGAGGAAATTAAGAGAGATAGCTGAAAACCTAGTTAAAGAGTGTTTTTAAATATGGTGAAATTTAAGAAGTACTCTCCAGAGAATAGTGAGTGAAGATTCTGCTACCAGTTATGGGCGATGTAATCTCCAGGATATGAATCAAGGAGAGAGATTATTTCTTGGCTTTAGAACAATGTTCAGAGCTACTGTGCTACTCTTATTATTAAGAGGGCTCTCCCCAAATCTTCAGTTACCAACCTTGATGTCCATTTGCTCCAATGCCGTTAGCCACCTGGTAGAGATTTTTCTCATCCAATATCCCTAGTTCATTCGATGTGGAAATCTTCCCAAAATGTTCCCTAGGTGTCATGATGAGCTGGATAGCAGGGTCCACTCTTATCCTTCAAAGCAAATTTCAAAAAAGGCCCTCACAAGGAAAACAATTTCAAGAAAGAAGGAAGAGAAACTTCACTGACATAATACCTATTACAAGCATAGGATGTTTCAAATAACTTTAAATACTTTTGAACTTGCAGCAAAGAAAACATGACAGCAGGCTCCCACCAAACAAATATGATCGTGACCAGACAATGTAATCTATTTCTTAAATGCTGGTTGTGATATGTTATTATCATTTGCGAATTTGGATTTACAAGTACAAGTGAAATGGATATTGTTTCAGTTCGTAAAGGTGACTTAATTGTTTTTTTTCCCTAAAAGAACAGAAAATTATTTAGAACAATGAACCAAAGACAATTTCCCAAGAAATCATGTGATTTAAGTTAAATGTCTCATTCAGATACCTGGGTAACTAACTACTGAACATATACAAAGTTGAGTTTTAAGTTTACAGAAGGAAAGATGACCAGAGGCCAGAATCAAACTTCAGTTCAAAAGAACAGTTTTACATCAGCAGAAAGGTGGGTTGGTTTGAAGAAATCCCCAATATAAGAGTATTTAGAGGCTTGTCAGCTGATAGGTTTGATCTGCAAAGCCAGGTTACAATCTGGAATCTGACTTGTCTGTATTATCATCAGCTGGGATCATAACATGGTTCAGGAAGATTTGCGCTTACAAAACACTGTTCCCATAAGCTTGACATCACAGAATCCTTCAGTGCAGAAAGAGGCCACTCGACTCATTGAGTGCACTGACCCACTGAAGAACATTCCATCCAGACCCAGTCCCCACCCTATTGCTGTGAGCCCACATTTGCCATGGCTCACCCACTTAGCCAAAATGTCCCTGGACACTGTGGGGCAATTTATCATAGCCAATCCACCTAACCTGCACATCTTTGGACTGTGGGAGGAAATTGGGGCAGCTTGGTGGCCCAGTGATTAGCACTGCTGCTTCACAGCACTAGGAACCTGGGTTCGATTCCATCCTCAGGCGACTGTCTGTGTGGAGTTTGCACATTCTCCCCGTGTCTGCATAGTTTCCTCCCACAGTCCATAGATGTGCAGGTTAGGTGGATTGGCCATGTAAAATTACCCATAATGTTCAGTGATGTGTAGATATGGTGGGTCATGGGGGATGGGTCTAGGTGGGATGCTCTGAGGGTCAGTGTACATTTGTCGGGCCAAAGGGCCTGTTTCCACACTGTAGGGATTCTATGATTCACCTGGTGGAAACCCACGCAGACACGGGGGGAATGTCTGTCTGGTGCTTGCACAGTCACCCAAGGCTGGGATCGAACCTGGGTCCCTGGCGCTGTGAGGCAGTAGTGCTGACTACTGTGGTGCAGCTATGTCAAAGTACTTTGCAACTATTTAAGTACTTTTGTAGTCTCATCACTGTCATAACAGCAAAAGTGCAGAGAAGACAATGGTGTAGTGGTAAGATCCTTGGAAAATCCTTTGGGGCATGGTTTCAAATCCTACAATAGCAGCTAATAGAATTTAGATTGACTCAACAAATCTGGAATTTAGAACTATTCTTAGTAATAGTGACCATGAAATAACTATTGATTGTCATAAAAACCTATCCATTTCCTTTCTGGAAAGATATGTCCAATCTTTACCTGGTCAGGTCAATAGCTACTCCAGATCTACAGATCTTAATTACGCTCTGAAATCGCCCAGCAAGTCATGAAAGAGTTAAAAAAAAGGAGCCAATTTGTGACACAGAAAGCTGCCAAAATGATATCATCCATTTTAAGTGCAGGTTGAAGAAGAGACTAGAATATGGGCAGAACCTCTTTGCTGTTTTTCAAATAATGCCATTGCATTTCTTACTACCATTCAAGAGGGCAGAATTTCAATGTCTCATGAAAGAAACAGCATCCTCAACAGCATGCTGCATTGGAGTCTTGGATGGATTATGTGCTCAAATCTCAACTGTGGATTGAGAATCGAACTCACAATATTCTGCTCCTCAAGCGTCATAGCAGAGATTACACAAGAGGATCTTTGTCACATTTTGCTTGTGTGTTCTAGTAATTTTGAGCTGCAGTCGGAATTGGTTCTTTAGAGTCACTTTCATGTTGAAATATGGTAAGGAGTTTGCACTCCTGTTGGATTCAATGCATTCTAATTAATCAATGAGTGATGTTGTGCTCAGCGTTTCTATTGGTCTATTTAATCCATATCATCTTGGTTTAGTTATAATTCTGAGTCAGCTAGGTGGGATTGAGGCTTCATTCCTCACAGATGAAGCTTTCGTGATGCCTCAATTTCAAATGGAGGCACAGGGGCCAAATTTCTGGAATTTTACAGGGTATATATGGTGTAACCTGTCTACAACAGGAGGCGGCCATGTGCTGTAGTTGCTGTAATGTTTCATGCAATTGTAAGACGAAATCACCATAGATATCTTGAAATCAACTTTAATCTGTTAATCTTTATTTTCTACACAAATAAGTAATGACAGTTGCTCTGTTCTAAATACATAATCTGATCTGCTTGCTCAATTCTTAGCATTCAGCAGTTTAACAGGATGTAGAAGACATAATCCGCTTTCATAGTGTTACCCTCAACAAACCCTGGCACTGAGCAGCTCACATTGTTCACCAATCCTTTAATCCAGTCGTCTTCTGTTAGGACCGAGGCTCTTTGACTCAAGACATGGTGGCCTGCATGCTGAAGGATTCACACTCCAAATCTTACAGGTTTTCCCCTTGGATTGTAAGCATGACTAGCATTAAACTACAAGATGACTGAACACTGAGAATTTGAACTGCTGGTATCTCCTTTCCTTCTGGGTCATTGTTCCTTTTGTTAAAATCATGCAGAGTTCTTCATCATACTGCAATTTACAACATGCAAAAAAATGCACATTAAGTGCAGTGAGGATAATTATAATAAATAGGAATAGTCCGCTCAACCAGTAATTCTGAAGCTAAAAATTGGAGATTTATCAGATACACCACTGGTAGATAACAAAGGATAATTTCATACATTGTGTGGCAGTAAAAACAGGTTATTGTGAATCCTCATTCTGTTTGCTTCTCCTATTTTTGATTCCATTAGATTCAGTCAGTCTCAAGTACTTATCAGAAGTGCCTTTTCACTTAAAGTGGTTTAATTCGGTGTGTTGCATCCATCCTTTTGTATTGTACATCTTTTTCAATTGAGCCATGATCTTTTGTGTACATTTTAGGTATTGGGTAAAACACACACTAAAATATTATTTGTTGCAACAATCGCTACAAAATCTCAAAAAAGAAATGAAACTGGACAGACCAGCTGGCACGACCTAGGCACCAGAAACGACAATGGCAAAAACCACCCTGTTGACCCTTCAAAGTCCTCCTGGCTATCATGTGGGGGCTAGTACCAAGATTGGGAGAGATGTCTCACAGATTAGTCAAGCAACAACCTGGCAGAGTCATACTCACAGAATCATAACTTACGGACAATGTCTCAGACACTACCATTGGCATCCCTGGTGGTTGCACTGGATAGTGCAGATCTGTTGGTTTTGCCAACATTCCAGTAATAGCACTGAAGACTTGTTCTCCAGAACTTGCTGCACTGCTAGCCAAGATGTTCCAGTACAGCTACAACTGGCTTTCTGCATTTTTAAGGTTTCTTTCAAATAATAAACCATTTGCCAAATTATACTTCTTGTGAGATTAGCAGGGAGATATTCACAAAGTGGAGACAGGAGACTTCACCATTTGGATTTTTCATCATTTTTCACAATCATCTCACCCTGGAATCCTAGCCTTTATTTCTGTGTGTTGGATTATCTCACTTCTACACAAACAGCCTATAAAGAACTTGCTCAGGAGGAGTAAATGTCACCAGATGTCAACAAACACCAGCAACACATTCTGAGTGCAGCTCAAGCTGGACAGCTGTCAACGCACTGAAGCATTCAAGCTATGCCAAAAGACATCGATGTCATTAAGAAAGTGAACCTTGCTTGGGCCTCTTATGTAGCACACTCAGTTCCTATCGCATCTTGCTTAAAAGAAGGCAAGTTCAGTTTGTTCTTCAGTTATCAAAGCTTCATATATAAATTATTTCAGACTTGAGTTTGAAGAATTGTGAACAAATGGAATGTTTTGTTTTAAAGAGATCAATGAATGAACATTGGAACTTTTTTTTAACAAGATGTTTCTTTGTAGTCACATGGCTAAAGATAATTGCTTGTTTACTGGAAACCACTGCCTAGTCTCCCACTGTCATGTTCCACTTTCTGCTTTAGTTGATGTTTAGAGTAGGTGTGGAAAGGCCTGACAATAGCAAACAACTTCTCATCCGAACTTTCCTGTTTCTGGAGAAGAACCATTACTGCGGTATTTGTAGATCCTGTGTCATATCTGGAGACCTGGTCCAACTGGCCACTGGTCCATCAGGTGGCAGTTCCATCTGACTATCAGAATTAAATTTTACGAGTGGCTCACAAAATTGAAATGGCAGGTCACTTAGGTATGAAGAAAACACATGCTAAAATATTATTTTGTTTGCCAGGATTAGTTAAAGATGTAGTTATATTTGACAAGACATGTCATATGTAGCAGGTAATGGGAAGCAATGTGGTTGACTCTCAAGTTCCCTCTGAAATGGCCTAGCAAGCCACTCAGTTGTAAAAATCACTGTGAAGTCTCAAAAAAGCAAGGAAACTGGATTGACCAGCTGGAGCAACTGAGGCACCAGAAACAACAATGACAAAAACAGCCCTACTCACCCTTCAAAGCCCTCTTTACTATCAACTGGGGGCTAGTGCCAAGATTGGAAGAGCTCTCTTGTAGTCTAGACAAGCAACAACCTAGCATACTTATACACATGGAATCATACCTTACAGACAATGTCACAGACACCACCATCACCGTCCTTGGTAGAGGCACTGGATACAGCAGATCTATTGGCTCAAGCAACATTCCAGCATTTGCACTGAACGACAGTGCTCCAAAAGTTTCTGCACTTTTTGCCAAGCTGTTTCGGTATAGCTACAACACTGGTATCTACCTGACAGTGTGGGAATTTACCCAGGTATGACTGTATGCAAAATACAGGACAAATTCAACCCAGCCAATTACGACACCATCAGTCTTCTCTCAGTCATTAATAAACTGATGGAAGGTGTCATTAACAGTGCTACCAAGCAGCACCTGCTTAGCAATAATCTGATCACTGACACCCAAATTGAGCTCTGCCAGATCTTGTTCCTTTTGGACATAGACTGCTTCAGAATCTGAGGAGTTGTGAATGGTAATGTCTATTGAGCAATCATTGTTCATCTCCTGACCTCAATACAGCTTTGGTACAAACATGGGCAAAAAGACCTGAATTCCAGATATGAGGTGACATCAAAGCTGCTTTTGACTTATTATGACATCAAGGATTCCTAACAAAATTGGAGTTAACTGGAAGCAGGGGAAAACACACCTGTTTTGGAGACACACCTGTTCTAAAGGAAAATGGTTGCGTTTGGTGAAGGACAGTCATCTCTGCAGGAACTCTTCAGAGTACTGTCTGAAGTCCAACCATCTTCAGCTGCTTCATGAATGACATTCCCTCCATCATAAGGTCAGAAGTGGGGATGTTCGCCGATGATTGCACAACATGCAGCGCTATCCATGACTTCTCAGATACTGAAGCAGTCCATGTTCAAGTTAACAGGAGCTGGCCAAATATCCAGGTTTGGGCTGACAAATACCAAGTAACATTCACACTACACAAATGCAGTCAATGATCATCTCCAAAAAAACACAATCTAACCACTGCCCTTTGACATTTAATGCCATGACCATCACTAAATCCCCCACTATCAACAATTTACAGTTATTATTGATCAGAAACTTGCCATATAAATACAGTAACTACAAGACCATTTAGGAAGTTAGAAATCCTGCAGTGAGTAACTCACCTCCTGAATCCCCAAAGCCTGTCTACCTCCTACAAAGCACAAGTCAGGAGTGCGTTAGAATATAATGGGTGCAGTTCAAACAACACTCAAGAAATTTAACATCTTGACAAAGCAGCCCACTTTATTGGTACCACATCCATAGAATCGCTACAGTGTGGAAACAGGCCATCCAGCCCAACAGGTCCACATCAACTCTCTGAAGACAACCCACCCAGATTCACCCCATCTACTCTATCCCTCTAATCCTGCATTTTATTGACTAATCCACCAAATGACACATCCCTGAACACTATGGGCAAGTTAGCATAGCCAATTCACCTAACCTGCACATATTCGTACTGTAGGAGGAAACCGGAGTACCAAAACCCACGCAGACACAAGGAGAATATGCAGATTCCACACAGACAGTCGCCCAAGGCTGGAATTGAACCTGGGTCCCTGGCACTGTGAGACGGCAGGGCTAACCACTGAGCCATTGTGCCGTCTTTTGTATATTTCAAAATGATGAGAAATAGCACAAGATTCGTTCTCTCTTTCAACTGTCAATATGCAGTTAGTTTCTTTGAAAAATACCTGATAGGCCATCAACCCAAATATATCCACATCCGGTCACTCAACCACCGATGCTCAGTAGCAGCAGTGTGTACTATCTACAAGATGCTGCGCCGAAACTCGCCAAAGGTCCCTAAACACTCCCTTCCAACCCATAATCAACTACATATAGAAGAACACGGGCAGTGGACACATGGGAACACCACCATCTGCAAGTTCCCTTTCAAGCCACTCACCATCCTGACTTGGAAACATATTGCCATTCCTTCGGTGTTGCTGGGCCAAAATCCTGGAATTTCCTCCCTAAAGGAATTGTAGATGTACCTACAGAATATCGACTGTGGAGGTTCAAGAAGACAGCTCCTCATCACCTTCTCAAAGGCAACTAGAGACAGGCAATAAATGCTGGGCTAGCCAGCAACAACCACGTTCTGCAGGTGAATAAAAAAGGTACCAAGATAGTCTATTTGTGTGATACTGTGGGGAAAAAGGCCACGTTGCATGTAAGAAAGCAAAAGTGTAGGCTATTTTGGACGTGCGCCGAGAATAAAACATGAAATTTTACAATATGTTGTAAAAGGATTCTTTTGCCTGTTAGTTCCGAACATCAGCACTGTCATTGAACCCTCATTAGCAAATCTGGATGTAGAAGTGTCAAGTTGCCTTTGAAAATTTAAAAGCTGTACTGACAATGATTCCAGTTTTAGCTGTGTCAAATCTTCCATTCAAACTGGTGGTGGATACCAGTAACATCAATGTGGGAGCTATTTTATAACAAGGATGAGGTAGAGTTTGATGGCCTGTCAGGTATTTTTCAAGGAAACTAACTGTGTATCAACAGTTGAAAGAGAGAAGGAGTTTTGTGCTATCTCTCCATCATTTTGAAATATACATCGCTAATAATGTAGACAATACTATGTATTTATACACACCATAATACTTTGATTTTCTTAGAAATGATTCCAAGTCAAGAATTTAGGATTATTTCAAAGGATCTCAATTCTCTAATCTTATAATTTGAAAATTGTTCCTGTGTCTGGAAAAGAAAATGCCATCATGGACACCTATTTGAGAGCACTCGTGTCAGTACCTGTGATGTGCAAAAATGTTTGCTATGTAACTCAGTGTATAATGCATTTTTAAAATTTGGTTTTAAAATTTGGTCTGTTATTGTGAATGTTCATGAAATGATGCAAATGTGCCTTTAACAAAAGCTTATTACACAAAAGAATAGGGGGAAAAGAGCAAAGCAATTTGGAGAGGTATTATCATAAACAGCGAGAAAAAACCCTGTCGCACAGCAATATTCTTTACAGATACCCAAGCCCAGTGAAGTATCACTCCTTTCATCACATTAACGTGTCTAACTCAACTGATGAAGCCTCAAACACCACCTTCTGGTGAATTTCAGCATACTTTACAGAAGTGTTTCTTTCTGTCCCTCCAAGAAACACACAGAAGCAGCTATCTCCTTGAGCTTACACACTGAACGCTAGGAAAAGAGCCCTGAGGGGTTTTCTAGTTACATTGACTACATTTCCTAAACAACACATTTGCTCATACGGAAATTTTTTACAGCACTGAGCCTGCTTCTGGCCTTTAGCATCTCCATCTGCTTCTGTTTGAATCATAAAAGCTCATTTTGGAAATATTTCAGCAATTATCTCACCAGGTAGTTTGTCTAGTCATTTAGCTTAAGTCACTTTTTCTTTTTTGGGAAGGTTGTTTGGATCTACTTCTAAAAATATTAATTTTGACCCTTATTTAAAAAGAACAAATCATCTTCATAGAACATAAAAGCAAAAAACTATTTCCTTCTAATTTAGAATGAAGGTTTTCAAATAGTAATAATAATAAGCCTTCATCACAGAATGCAGTGAATTCAAGTAATGTTGAAGTATTTAAAGCTGATGGAAAATACCAAATGCTACAGGCCAGACATAACAATTTCCTTTTAGAGATGAGACCCATGACCATTTTGCTGATGAGTTTGGATATGAGAAACCTGATAGCTCAGCAGGTCCATCAGAATCTGCGTAGAAAAAAAGTGAAGTAATCTATCATGTGTCTCATCTGTGGTTTCTCTTACATTTCCTACTTTGACACTCAGGCTACGGAAACTTTATCTTTACTTCTGTTAAAACTCCTCTGATCTCTATAAACAATACACTCTTGTCAGTATGTATAAATTTGTAGCCTCAATTTATTTAGTGTTGAAGCATCACAGGGAATGTGCCAAGTTCTTTAGATTTCAACCAAAAAAATTACAATTAAAAGTCTGTGTCAGCAGTTTTATTCTTTAGAAGAGAGTGGTTTTGAGGCTTTTACTGATGGTTTTGATTGTGTAAAGTGCTGACTAAACGGACTGATTGCATTATGCACAATAACACCATCCATGAGATTATAATCATCCAAAGATCATGGTGAATTCAATATTTTTTTTTGCAAAGCAAGAGAGTTCACAATACAACAATGGACAATTATATGCATTTAAAATTAAAAACCACTTAAGCCTCACCTCAGTATGACTGAAGCATGTTGGTAAAGGTCACAAAGCCTCAGACTTTCCAATCAACCCAACCCCATATTCACTGAAGACTGAAGGGCACCTTTCATCCTCTGCTGTGCAAATGCATTCTAAGATGTGGCCGCACAGATCCTGACTGAAAGTGAAAACCTCATCCAAAAGTCAGCAAAATTACAAGTCTCAGCTTCCTCATTTTTCCAGACACCTTCTTGGAAACGAGGCAGTTCTGAGTTACGTAATGAGTTCATCAACCCGTTAAAACCTCACACAACAATGTAAACATAAAAATAAATAAAAATTACGCAGAAGCACTTGAACAGAATGCAGCACAGAGATAAATTATTTAAATGTTGTTGAACTCGAAGAGATTTTAGTCCATTGAATATGGAAAAGGCCTGAAGAGAAAGCAAACATTCTCCCTCTTGTTTGAGGGAAGTGCAGTTTCTCCTTAGAATTTTCTCTGGTAATGATGATCAAAACATTGATTGGTTATTTATTTACTGCTATGATTGGATTGTTTATGAAAGAAATGATTGGAAAATACATCAGAACAGGAGCCATTTGGTTCATCCAATCTGCGCTGGCTCTTTTGAAAAGCAGTCAGATTGTAAACTTATAGTGTGGAAGTTAATGCTCCCTGAACGCCCACACCAGGAGATAATTTCACAAGTGGGTCATGGGGTCCTGTCTGATTGGGGAGGAGGGCACAGGATGGGAACCCATGCAGCCTTGAACTCCTCACCTTAGCCAATTAAGTCCAGAGCAGGAAGGTTTGAGGAGGCCTTCACATCTAGAGACCATCTAAGGCTATTAAGTGGGCAATTAATGCCCCAATTAAAGACCTTATCCTGCTGCCACTTGTATTTTAATACTAGAAAATAAGCAGCAAGCAATAGACAGAGCTAAGTGATTCTACAACCAACAGATCAAATCTAAGCTCTGCAGTCCTACCACATCCAATTGTGAAAGTTGGTGGACAATTAAACAACTCACTGGATGAGAAATCTCCACAAATATCTCCATCTTCAACTATGGAAGAGACCAACGTACCAGCGCAAAAGATAAAGCTGAAACATTTTCAACAATCTTCAGCACAAACTGCCAAGTGGATGATCCATTCCAGCCTCCTCCAATGGTCCCCAGCATTAGAAATAGCAGTTTTTAGTCAATTCAATTCAGTCCACGTGATATCAAGAAATAGTTGGAGGCACTGCATCCTGTAAAGGCTATGGGTCCTGACAACATTTTGGCAAAAGTACTGAAGGTATATGCTCCAGAACTTCCTTCACCCATAGACAGTCTGTTCCAGTACAGCAACAACATTGGCATTTACTAAACAATGTGAAAAATTGCCCAGGTATGTCCTGTACACAACACATGGGACAAATCCAACCTATTTACTGTCCTAACAGTCTACTGTTGATCATCAGTAAAGTGATGGAAAGTGCCATCAACAGCGCAATGACCTGAACAGCAATACCCTGCTCACTTACATCAGTTTGAATTGAATCAGGGCCACTCAGCTCCTGATCGTACTACAGCCTTGATCCAAACATGGACAAAAGTGCTGAATTCCAGAGGTGAGGTGAGAGTGACAGCCCCTGACATCATTTTGATTGAGTGTGGCATCAAGGTGCCCTAACAAAATTGGAATCAGGGGCAAACTCTCCATTGGTTAGAATGAACACAAAACACAAAGGAAAATAGTTGTGGTTGTTGGAGATCAATCATCTCAGCTCCTGGACATCTCTATAGGAATTCCGCAAGGTAGTGCCCTAAGCCCAACCATCTTCAGCTGTTTCATCAATGACCTTCCCTTCATCAAGAGGTCAGGAGTGGGGATGTTCGCTGATGATTGCACAATGTTCAGCACTATTCATGACTGCTCAGATCCTGATGTAGTCCATGGTTAAATGCAACAAGGTCTGGATAATATCCAAGCATTGGCTGACAAGTGACAAGTAATATTCATGTCACACAAATGCTAGGCAATTACCATCTACAATAAGAGACAATCTAATCACTGCCCCTTGACATTCAATGGTGTTAGCAACACTATCAACATCTCGGAGTTACTATTGACCAGAAACTGATCTGGATCCACAGTGCAGTACAGTAGCTACAAGAGCAGGCCAGAGGATAGAAATACTGCAGTGAGTAGCTCACCAAAGCTTGTCCACCATCTACAAGGCACAAGTCAGGAGTATGATGGAATACTTCCCAGTTGACTGAATGAGTGCAACTCCAACAACGTTCAAGAAGTTGACACCATTCAGGACAAAGCAGCCTGCTTGATTGGTACAATAGTTACAAGCATCCACTCCCTCCAGCATTGACTCTTCCTGAGAAATGATCTCTATAAACAAGAAGCACTGCAGAAATTCACCAAAGATCCCTATACAGCACTTTCCAAACCTGCGAACACTTCCATCTAGAAGGTTAAGGGCAGCATCTACATGGGAACACCACTACCAGCAAGTTCACCTCCAATAAAAGCTGGCCCAGCTGGAGACACCCACATCCTCTCAATGAATATTTTTTTTTCTAAAAATTTGTCAAAATTCTTCATAACTAATACTCCCTACAGGCTGTGAAAACAGATCCTGGCAGCTCCACATCTTCAAGAAAGAATCAATGTTTTATTAACAGTGGCACATACAAAGGTCAGGATTACAGAAACAGGTCTTTAAATGATTGCCACATATTTTGCAAGTGGCTGATTGCAAACTTTGAATTTATAGATTAGGGGTGTTTACTTCCGTATGGTGAATCAGAAGTTTAATAGAATTTTATCTGTTTTACCTTTCTCTGAGAGAAACACTTCAATCTGAATAAAAATAGAGTGAATGGAAAATATAGTGTACTTACACCGTATGCAGAGGGATGTTCAATTGTTCAAGGGTAACATGACACAAGATGATAAAGAACTGTCCTTACGGTGGTCTCACAAACTGGGCAGAACACCAGCTTTCCACTTGGCTCATTGTCCAGAGCTCCACCAACTTTAACTAAAATTAGCTTTGATAAAAACGTTCATTCTTTTCTTTTTAAGTCTTAATCAGCTCCCTTCATGTCCTGTATACTTGATTCCCCACTCCTGGACCCTTGTCCCTGACATTACTTGGGTTGCTCTTCGATCCAATGCCAATTCCTGAGATGGTACTGAGAAATGGAATTACGTGAAATAATTACTTGAGTAGCTCTTAAGCCTAAACCAATAAAAGCAGATTGAACATTTACCTTCCCTAAGCCCTAGTTAAGATTTGAAAGGCAAGTTAGATTATGCTGGGAATTAAGACTGGTCTTCAATTGTTGGTTGTAAACGCGGAATGAATAGGATCTGCAGATCAGAATTGCTTTGCTTCACTTATGGGTCAAAATATGGCATAACAGCTTCACATTGGTACACAATGTGAGTGGAATAAAAAACTGATACAACCTGAATAAGCAAAGACAATCAGTGAAATAGAGCTGTGAAGAGTTGCTCAGCACTAATCCTCTTTAAGAATATTATCAGGCAATCACTGGGATTAACAGTACAGATTAAGCTGACCTGCAGTACCCACAGGCTTCTTGCTGGTAACTCTTAAATTTCATTTGTGTGTTTATGTGTATGTTTTCGAATGTTTTGGTGTTTGTGTGTCAGCAACAACAAAATATTATCATACAAATGAAGAAAAAATATTCAGGTTTTTCAGTTTCCTTTTCATTTTTGCATTACAGATTCAGAAGAACTAAAGTCAAAGTTCTCATTTTCACAGTTAAATACTCCATCTCCATCACCCTCCCTATCTCTGTCACCTTTAAATCTCTACCACCTTCAAATCACAACGTGTTCCTCTAATTCTGGCTCCTTGCACATTCCCTGTTCCCTTCCTCTTACCATAGGCAGTCATGACTTCAGTCAATCATGGTCTAGATACCTTCTCCAACTTTCTCTACTCCTTTATGACTTTCCTTTATACCTTGTCCCACCATCCTGATAGCTGTTGACATGGTTCATGTCAAAGTTGATTTGATAACAGAACTTGGGATGTTTAAAAATGTATGTTGCTGTTAATTTCAGTACAGTCCTACAGTTGCCTCCATTCATAAGTCGAATAGGATGCCACAGGTGCTCTTGCAGAATATCAACTTTTTTATGTATATTTCAGTAAAAGTCATTTTATATATTCATGGACTATGGCTGTCACTGGCTAGGCCAGCATTTATTTCCCAACCCTAATTGTCCAGAGGGAAGTTAAGAGTCAGCCACATTGTTGTAGCTCTGGAGTCACATGTAGGACAGACCAGGTCAGAATGGCAATCTCCTTCCCTAAAGGACATTAGTGAACTACATATTATTTTCCTGACGATTAACAATAGATGATAATAATCTTCTTGAAGCAGGTGGGAACCTCACATCAGAGTAAGGAGAGGTTAAAGATGACTGTGAATACTCCTGCCAGCTGGTCTGCACAAGTTCTGAGTGCATGCTGGGGACTCCATCCAGACCAGTCGCTTTCCGTGGGTTCATTCTCAAGAAGCCCGATCTGACGTCTGTGCCTATTACCGTGGGTACAGGTAGACCCAAGGCAATCAGGGCAGGTGACATCATTTCACTTACCTGTTCAAAATGAGCATAGAATGCATTGAGCTCATCAGGGAGGGATGTGTTGCCGTCAACGATTCTACTGAACTTTGCTTTGTAGCTGATGAAGTCGTATAAGCCTTGCCATAGTTGACATGCATTCGAGTGGTTAGTCTGGGACTTAGTTTAAGTCTGATATTGTCTTCTGGTATCCTTAATGGCTTTGCAAAGATCATACCTAGATTTCCTGTATAGGTCTGAGTCACTTGACTTGAACACCTCAGACCTGGACTTCAGTAGGGAGTGGATCCCTCGGTTCATCGATGGTTTCTGGCTGGGAAACATTTGGATTAACTTCTTTGGCAGTCTTTTACGTACTTACTGATGAAGTCTGTGATGGTAGTTGCATATGCATTTAGGTTGGCCGCTATGTTCTTGAATATGGACCAGTCCACTGACTCCAAGCAGTCATGTAGGAGCTCATCCATTACCTCAGACTAGTACTGCATGACTGTCTGTACCAGATCC